TTAAGTTCAAGTGATCCACTGAATACATTAATTCAATAACAGTTAATTATCTGGAAGTGGCTTTGAGATTAAGATATTCTTCAAAATAATAATCATGCTTTTGTGAGAGCTATCATAAGCACTAAAAAAACAGCCATCTACATACTAGCAGTATCTATTCATTCAAATTATAGAAACCAAAAAACAATACATCTTAATGTCACCTGGGAACACCCTATCCCTAGCAGACTAAGGCTGCATTGTTCAAAGAAATATGCAAGCCACATACATAATTTAAAATGTTCTAGCATATACATTTTTTTTTTTTGAGACAGAGTTTCACTCTTGTTGCCCAGGCAGCAGTGCAATGGTGGAATCTCAGTTCACCACAACCTCCACCTCCCAGGTTCAAGTGATTCTCCTGCCTCTCAGCCTCCCAAGTAGCTGGGATTACAGGCATGCACCACCACGCCCCACTAATTGGTATTAGTAGAGATGGGGTTTCTCCATGTTGGTCAGGCTGGTCTCGAACTCCTGACCTCAGGTGATCCACCCACCTCAGTCTGCCAAAGTGCTGGGATTACAGGAATGAGCCACCATGCCCGGCTACATTTTTTAAAAAGTAGAAACAAGTAAAATTAATTGTAATAATATATTTTATTTTACCCAGTCTATCCAACATATTGTCATCCAGCATTTAATCAATATTCTATAAATCGAAATTTTTTTTCTACTAAATCTCAAAATCTGAGTGTATTTCACACTTCACAGCACTAGCCATATTTCAAATGCTCAAAGCCACAGGGAGGGGGAGGAGCATTTGTCTCCAGTATCCTCCTGTTTGCAATAAACAAGAGTTTAAATGAATAGCAAACAGTAACAGGCTATGTTAGCAGACAATAATAACCTTTTAGTAATCTACATGTTTAGGGTTCTAAAAGTATTGTGCACTTTTGAGTTTATGATCGTTTTCACCACATTTTAACTAGTCTAGCTGTAACTGCACTCGGGGTTACCCATATCCTCCCTTTTCCACTCCACTTCCTCACCCGTTCCCCTTCCCTAAATTATTTCAAGTTACAGAAAAAGAACCTACCTTCAGGTGGTGCTTTCTACAACACATATTTAAAATCGACACGGGGAGAGTCAATGGAAAGGCACAGAAAAATTCTGGAAGGTGGACAGAAATGTCCAGATAATTCCACACAAGTCTTGAAATGGTAAAATAACTTTTTTTTTTTTTTTTTTTTTTTTTTGAGACACGGTCTCACTCTGGTTGCCCAGGCTGGAGTGCAGTGGCGCAATCTCGGCTCACTGCATCCTTGACCTCCTGGGCTCAGGTGATTCTCCCATCTCACCCTCCTGAGTAGCTGGGACTACAGGTGTGGGCCACCATACCTGGCTAACTTTTTTGTTTTCAGTAGAGGCAGAGTTTTGCTATGTTGGTCAGGCTGTTCTCGAACTCTGGGAATCAAGCAATTCGCCTGCCTTAGCCTCCCAGAGTACTGGGATTACAGGTGTGAGCTACCATGCCCAGCTATATTATAACATTAATAAAAAAGAACAGAAGCCAGATATTCTTAAGCAGTGATTCAACTAAACCACGCAAACAGTTTAACACTAGAATAGGGAAGAGGAAATCGGGCCAAAATAAGTCACAAAAAGCTCCCCTCTCCCCCTCCTGCCTCTACCCCACCCCTCGGGAGAATTTGAGTAGGATCATTCTCCAAAGATTTGATTATAGCAAGTATTTCCTTTATAACTGACTGGCTCTTTCTAGACACCAGACCAAATTCTCCTTCGTTAATCTATTAAAGTACCTACAATAAGTTAAAATACTAGACAATAAATTCTGCTTGTGAAAAAACTGCTGAACTGGGCGTGGCTACACTATCTGGGGTGGGGTGTGATGGGAGAAGACTGTATTTTAGTCACAATAGGTCAAAGTACATCAGCGTTCAAGTTTAAAACAAACTCAACAACTCAAACACTGCAACAACACTTTCTTTTTGCCAAATATAATTATGCGGTTATGAAGTGTTTACCAGTGCTTAAAATGAAAAATTGAGGAAACCAAAATTATAGCTCAGTAGTTCTCAGCCCTTTGATGAATTGTTACCCAGAAACCTATCCCTATCAATTAGATTATGCTTTTAAAAAGTTAAATCAAAATATTATAATTCTTTTAGTTCAGCAGACTTCACGAGGGCCACTTCAAATAATGAAAGTAATTAAAGTGGCAAATCATCAGTGAAGTCTTTAGACACCTATTTACGTTTTAAAAACTAGATACTAAACCAAGATTATGTCACTTGTACAAATATTTTACACACACACAAAACCAATTTGAAATACAGCAAGGATTATCTCTGGGTAATTATGGGTTTTGTTTTTTTTCACTCTGCTTCTTTTTTTTTTTTTTTTTTTTTGAGACAGAGTTTTGTTCCTGCCGCCCAGGCTGGAGTGCAATGGTGTGACATTGGCTCACTGCAAACTCCGCCTCCTGGGTTCCACCGATTTTCTTGCTTCAGCCTTCCTCATAGTTGGGATTACAGGCGACTGCCACCACATCCATCCAGTTTTTGCATTTTTAGTAAACACGTGGTTTCACCATGTTGGCCAGGCTAGTCTCAAACTCCTGACCTCAGATGATCTGCCCGCCTCAGCCTCGAAAGTGCTAGGATTACAGGCATGAGCCAACTCGCCTGGCTTAACTTTAATGTTTTCTGCCATGATCACGCATTACTCTTTAAAACTAGAAGGAAAAACAAAACAGGCAAGCAGGAACTGAGGTAGTGCCAATCAATTTGGGATTATATTGAATTGTGCTATCCTTTATACCTCCATAACCTCTAAGTAAAAACCATTCAGAGCCCTTGAAGAAAGGAACCTTGGCTTTTCTAAAAAACATACTCGATTACATTCAGATATACAATAATATATGATGCACACATTAGCATGTCTTCTTTGAAAAAGCAGAACAATTTTGTACCCTTGCAAAACGAATAACAGCTACGAGTGGGAGCTCACGGAATAAGAGAAGGCACAAGACATTTGTCTTGAGCCAAAACAAAAACTGTAAGCCTTCCACTAAACGCCACTGTTTACTTTAAAAATGGTTTATTCTGTGTCAACTTCTCTTCAATTAATTATAAAAGTAAACCTAAAGACCGAGCGAGGGACTCACGCCTGCAATCCCAGCACTTTGGGATGCCACAGCGGTAGGATCGCTTGAGTTCAGGAGTTAGAAACCAGCCTGGGCAACATGGTGAAACCCCGTTTCTACAAAAAGTAGAAAAATTAGCCAGGCGTAGTGGTGCACGCCTGTAGTCCCATTTACTAGGGAGGCGGAAGCAGGAGGATCGCTTGAGTCCAGGAGATAGAGGGTGCAGTGAGCCAAGATCGAGCCACTGCACTCCAGCCTGGGCAACCAGAGTGAGATCCTGTGTTCTATAAATAAATAAACCTAACAACGTTACTTTCTAAATACCCCATACTGAATAAACACTGTTTAAATACTGCTTTACCCCCAATCGATCCTAATTTTTTTTAAAGAAAAGCTTCTGCGGTGCCGGAATGGGTAGGAAGGTACAAAAAAAAAAAAAAATACAATGTAATAATACACCTTCTTTCCTTACAGCAATGGTGGAGTGATAGAAACAAAGAGGCCACAAAACAGTCATGAGTGATTTTGCTATTTTTAATAAAGGTTAAGTACTGCTGACTTTAAAGAATTTGGAGTGACGAGCCAGGGAAGATTTCAAGAGGCAAAAGAGCAGAATTAGGGCACAGAGCAGAGCTGGGAGGGTCTCATTACAGTTCTAATCCTCGATGACAGCACAAAGCCACCCCTCCTTATGCTTAAGTGTACACGGACATTGATTGAAAACGCACTGAAATCCAACTCATCCACCAAGCAAGGCTAAAGGCGCGCACACATGAAATTCAACAACACTGCGTTCGCGCGGCTGGAGGGCAGACGGTGAATATTCCATTTTACTTAGTAGTGTACCAACACCTAGCTGCAGGCTTAAACCTGCTTAACAAAAGCTGGCACGGGGCTGGAGAGCTGCACACCATCAGCCCTCTCCCGAGCGCCGATCGGCCTCGCCCCGCCTCTGTGCTGCACCCGGGCGCAGGCGGACAGGGGCAGGGCCGCCACCAGCCTCCGCCCGGCCGACCCCGACGTGGTGCTACGGGACAGATCCGCAGGGGCCACCCCACAGCCCTACGGGCGACACCTCTGCGGGCCGGCCCCCCGCCCGGTCCCGGACGCCAGCTTGGGGAGGCAGGCCGGGGACCTAACCTTCAATGGCAGGTGGGCGGCGCGGCCTCCGCAGACAAAGCTAGGCGCCCCAGCAGATAGGACAAGACCCTACGCCCCACGCGCCCGCAACCGGCCGGCCCCGGAGCCCGGCCCGCGCCGCCACCCTCAGCCCAGCGCCCAGCCCCCGGACCCCGTTACTCGGCCCCCGGCCGGCGGAGACCTGCCCGCCGCGCCCGGAGCGCCAGCGCAACCGCCGCCGCCGGAGCGCGCAGGCCGCCCAACAGCCGTCCCGGCCCAACCAACGCGGGCAGGGGAGGAGAGGTGCGCGCGGCCGGCGGAGCGTGCGAGCCACTCGGGGGTCGCAGGGGGAGGCTGCGCGCGGCGGAGGCAGGGGCAAGGAGGCGCCGAGGCCGGCGCTGGTCGCGGCGCCAGGAGGGCCTGCTGGTGGGGGCTTTGCCCCTTTCCCCTAGGAAGGTGCAGATGGTTTGACCCCCCACCCCGAGTGAGGTGCCTCGTCCCAGCCCCGGCTGGACTGTACCATCGGGCGGTGCCGCCGGGATTTCTCCCCCCCACCACCACCATCAATTCCCCCCCCACCCGGGTCCGCGGTCGGTTGGCCCCGGCCGGGCTCTGAGACGCGGAAAGAGCTGGGCGCCATTTTGGGTGGGACTAAGCAAAGACGAAACACCCTCCCAGTCTATGGGGTACTGTGGACCCTGGCTTATCTGGTTCCCTTAATCCTTTAGGTACTTACACGACGTTGGGTGAGGGGAGCTGGAAGATCAGCGGGTCCCCGATCCTCTCTCCCTAGGGGTGATAGAAATCAAACCCCCCCGCCACCTCCAGGTGGTTCTTCCCGCCGCAGAGTGGGAGCAGCATAAAAGGCGGGGTCTTATTAGCATAATCTGCCTGGCAACCTGATCTCGACGTTATATGATTGGTTAAACTCTGTAAGCCCCATGCCTTGCCTAGAGACGAGAAATGCTGGGGCGAACTGACAGGCCCAGATTTAGGAGTCATGACGAAGATCCTGAGACGCTTATTCAGTCTGCAGAGAAGCCAAAAGGAGATTCATACAATGGCCCAATGACTGAAGGCCTCTTTATTTCGTGCTCTGCGGTTCGTATAAAACCCAATCGCAGAGCGGGTCTCAGGCGGCGCTCTCCTGCGTTTCTACTCTCAGCCAATCAGAATGCCCGGCTCTTCGCATTGGGGTCAAGCTCCCGCTGCTGCTGGACGCGGTCGGGCAGGGAGCGTGCAGCCCTGCCTGGGTCTCTCGGGCGCCAAGAGCCGCCTGCGGGGGGGCTGGTCCCGCCTCCCGGTCCCAAGGGCCTGGGGTTCCTGGGAAGCGCGCCGGAGTGAGGCGGCCCTCGCGTCCGTCCGCCCTGCCACGGGTTGCGTCAGAAGCGGCCTGGCCGCGGAGCGCTGGCGAAAACCGTACTCTCGTCCCGCGCAACCCGGGCTCGGCGCGGCCCGGTTACGACTGCGGGGTCTCGCCCTGAGGACCCCCAAGGAGCGGCCCACCGCCGCCAATCACCCTGACCCACCGCACCTTGAGAGCGCTTTCACTGCGCCTCTCCTTTCCCCTCTGCCAATCTGGAAAGGAGGTGATTGTCATTTCAGACATTAAGAAGCATTATTCCACACTGGTTACTCAATGACTCAGCTCACTCCTTTTTTAATCGTAGGCTTCCACATCCTGCCGTCCCTTAAAATTGCCTTCTCAAAGGGCAGCCAAGAGCCCAGCTTTGGAGAGACCCAGCTCCAAATACCCACTGGTAGGCAGCACGCGTGGCAGCTAGATGGCAGAGACCTTGGACCTTCGGACCTTCAGGGAGCGATTCTCCCTTCCATGATACCTACCTTGCTACGTTAAATTTGAAGATTAAATGAGCTTTTAAAGTACCGAGTAAAGTGCTTTGCTTAGCACACTGTCTGGAACTTAAATGAGAAGTACTGACGATATAACCTACAAAAATCCTAAACGATTGCCTAACCAAGAAAAAGAGGGAGACAGGACAACTAAGTAAAAGACGTGAATAGAAAACACCCACAGTGGGAAAAACTGTAAAATTAACTCAATAGTATTCTCTTCACTGGTTTGTTTTTGTTTTTATTTTTTGATACGGAGTCTGGCTCAGTCTCCCAGGCTGGAGTGCAGTGGTGAGATCTGGGCTCACTGCATCTCCGCCTCTCGGGTTCAAGCGATTCTCCTGCCTCAGCCTCCCGAGTAGCGCCCACCACCATGTCCTCTCAAATTCTAACCTCAAGTGATCCTCCCGCCTCAGCCTTCCAAAGTGTTGAGATTACAGGCGTGAGCCACCTTGCCTAGTCTACCATTTTCTTATTTAAATAGCTGGAAACAGCCAGGCCCAGTGTCTCATGCCTGTAATCCCAGCACTTTGGGAGGCCTAGGCGGGCAGATCACCGGGTCAGGAGTTCGAGACCAGCCTGACCAACATGGTGAAACCCCGTCTCTACTAATAATACAAAAATTAGCCGGGGGTGGTGGTGCGCACCTGTAATCCCAGCTACTCATGAGGCTGAGGCAGGAGAGTCACTTGAACCTGAGAGGCAGAGGTTGCAGTGGGCCAAGATCATGCCACTGCACTCCAACCTGGGTGACAGAGTGAGACTCCATCACAAAAAAAAAAAAAAAGAAAAGAAAAAGAAAAGCTGAAAACAATGTGGAAGAGAGCCTTTTTTTTTTTTTTTTTTTGTAATTTCGTGGCAGGGGAGGGTGGCTCACGCCTGTAATCCCAACACTTTGGGAGACAGAGGCGGGTGGGTCACTTGAGCAGAGGAGTTTGAGACCAGCTTGGGCAACAGTGAAACTCTGTACATTAAAAAAAAAAAAAAATTAGCTAGGCATGGCAGTACACTTCTGTGGCTGCAGTTACCCGCAGGCTGCACAGGAGGGTTGCTTGAGCTCAGGAGGTCAGGCTGCAGTGAGCTGTGATCGTGCCATTGCACTACAACCTGGGTGACAGAGCAAGCCCCAGTCTTTAAAAAACAAAACAACAACAACTTCAAACAGTAAACTACCTTATAAACAACTTCATGTCTAGGCCATGTCTTGTTCTTCCTTAAACACCTTCACAGGTAGCTTAACTGGACTTAGATGAGGCCGACCTTAACACAGCTAATGAGAGATGCTAGTAGCTATTCTCTGGGTATAGAGACATGGAAGTCAGCTGCCTTAGGAAAGGTCATATTGGCTGACAGAGTCACTTGAATGCTCGTTCTCTTTTAGTGCTGTGGGTGGAAGGACAATGCCACTGGTTGGCAGGTCGTTCTGTGGCCTTGCAAAAGCTGCCACTCCCCATATTCCTTGGCCTCAGTGAGAACCGCTTCCTTTTAGATTTAACATTATTACATCCTTGCTGATGAACTGAGATGGTCTCAACTGGTCTGCTGACCAGAAACAACACTACAGAACCCAAAAGAGAATGCATCATGAGGAATGGGGCTACTCAAACTGGAAAGCCTGAGTTACCCGCATGGCTTTACAAAAATGTTCCAAAACTTCCCAGTACATAAATATGTGCAGGGAGATTCCACCCTACAGAGTTTTTATTCAGAGGGTCTGGAGTGAACCTCAGGGATTTGCTTTATCTGTGGATTTTTAAATGATTTTTAAAGTTTACACTGTAAAATTCACTCATTGGGGTGTACAAGAAGTATTTGTTGAATATATACTGTGTGCCACTCACTGTTCTAAACAAGAAAGATAGAATAAGGAACAACAGCAACAAAAAAAGGCCCTGCTCTCATGCAGCTTCGTTCTAGTGTAGGTAACAAGAAGAAAATTAATAACTCCGGGTAATGATAAGTGCTGTAAAGAAAGTAAACTAGGAAAATGTAAAGGCAGAGAACACTGGCCCTTTAAATACGGGGCCAAAGAAGTTTTCTCTAAGATATTAACATTTGATCCTTGAGTTATGGGGCAGAGGGAGGGGGAGTAGCCAGCCATGTTAAGATCTTGGAGAACATTCCAGTCAAAGAGAATGGTAAAAGTAAAGACCGTGAGGTCAAAAACAAAAAAATTAGTATGGCGTGCACATATTTATTCTTCTATTGAATAGATATTCATTGAATGTGTGCCAAATGCCAGGCACTGTCTTAGATGCTCTGGGATTCGTCAATTAACGCTACAGACAAAAGCACGACACAACACAAAAATCCATGCCTTGACTGAGCTTTCGCTCTAACACACTGAGAAACAGCAAGAAGACGAGAGGTACTGGAACACAGGACAGAGTGATACAAAAAAGCGTGTAGTGCTACAAGGATACAGTGATGCAAAAAAACTTGGGGAACTATGTATGGGACAGACCACAAAAGGCTTTGAAGGCTATGGTATTGGAATTATTATTTAAAGTGCAGTTTAATAGGATCATTGACTATGTGGGAATTCAAAGAAAAAAGTGCAACTTGTTGGAGGTTTTAAGTAAGGGAGTAACACAGTTTTTTCTTTCAAAAGAACTCTGGCTGCTCTAGCGTGCTGATTTTGTTAGGGGAGAGGGCAAGAGACAAGGAGTCTGTGGCAACATGCTCTAAACAAGAAACGGCCCATCCTGACTAAAATGGAAGTCGCTTAAATGGGGAGAAGTGTATGGACATCAGATATATTTTGGAGGTGAAGCCACAGAACTTGCAAATGGATAAGATACAGGACAGAGTGGGAGTTGCTCGTGACAAGGGAGCCATCGAGAATGATTTATAAGATTGAAAATTGAGTGGCTAATAAATGTTGATGCCTTAACTGAGATTAGGAACACTAGGAGATAAATGGTAAGAAAATCAAGAGTTGTGGGCCGGGCGCGGTGGCTCAAGCCTGTAATCCCAGCACTTTGGGAGGCCGAGACGGGTGGATCACGAGGTCAAGAGATCGAGACCATCCTGGTCAACATGGTGAAACCCCGTCTCTACTAAAAATACAAAAAATTAGCTGGGCATGGTGGCGCGTGCCTGTAATCCCAGCTACTCAGGAGGCTGAGGCAGGAGAATTGCCTGAACCCAGGAGGCGGATGTTGCGGTGAGCCGAGATCGCGCCATTGCACTCCAGCCTGGGTAACAAGAGCGAAACTCCGTCTCAAAAAAAAAAAAAAAAAAAAATCAAGAGTTGTATTGTAGCCATGTTAAATTTAAAATATTTTTTGGAAAATCCAACTAGATACAACACGTTGGCAGCTGGAATCCAAAAGAGAGAACAGGGCTGGAAATATAATTGTAGAAATACAATTCATCAGATTATACATTGTATCTAAATACAAGGGATTAGATGTGATCCTCTAACTAGGATTAGATGAGAGAGAGTGTGTATAGAGAGAAGACAAGTGTATCCAGGACTAAGCTCTTGGGAGCTGCTGAATTTAGAGGTGGATAACAGAAGGCAGCCATCAAAAAGGCTGAGAATGAAATAACACAGAAGGAGAACCTGGAGAGGATGGCTGAGAAGGCAGGGGAAGACAGAGTTTCAAGAAGGATGTAGTGTTGCTAGCTGTAGCGAATGTTGCTGAGAGCTGATGATAACAAGTTAACCTGTGGATCTGGAAAGATGCAGGTGAAAATCTCCGGTAACTTTGACAATAACAGCTTCAAGGGAGAACTAGGAAGGCTTACTGGGAGTTGCCTGAAGAAAGCATGGGAGGTGAAGAGTCACATCTGTTGCCAATAGTATAGCAGATAAGAGAGGCCAACGAAAACAACGAGTGTGCTGCAGCCGGCTGTGATCACACCATTGCACTGCAGCCCAGATGACAGAGCGAGACCCCGCCTCCAAAGAAAAAAAAGTTATGTCATGAAACACAAAGCCCGAAAAACTGTTCCAGCTTAAAGGAGAATAAAAAGACAGAACTAGGCCAGACATGGTGGCTCACGCCTGTAATCTCAGCACTTTGGGAGGCTGAGGCA